CTGCAGTCACGAATGCTTATTCATGGATAGAGATTTTGCAGCTATTCATTTTTTCGGATACCGTGACGCTTGATCTCCGAAAAAGAGGATGCTGACCGCATATCGTATCCACATTACTGAAGCCCAAGTATCAAGGGATCCGTAAAAAACAAAACGAATTAAAAATCCTTGCGTAAATAGGAATTCCCCTCTAAATATTGGAATTGTGACAATCAAAGCAACCATTGGTATCCATCAACAAAGAAAACTTCAAATCGTCACTTTGAAGTCCCTAAGGAAACGCAATGTATTTCAATAAATCTTCGCTAAAATTAATAGCGAATTCGTTTATTATTCAGTTCCAGCCTGGATCGGGTATCAAGATTGGATCTGCTTGTTTTCAAACAAACGTCACTTTGATCGTTTGCTTTTAAAACCCAGCTCAGGTTGAGGTTTGCACTGACAAAAAGTTCGGTTTCGCACTAATTTTTTGAAGTTCCACCTGTTGGTTCCATGATGGTCCTTGCAATTTTTCGGAGCAATTCAAAATTTTAAGATTTTTCGCTTCACTTTTCGCACGAAACGTAATAACGTTGAATAGATATTTGTTTTGATAGTAAAATTCTCGTAAGCTTGTCAATTGTGAGTTGGGCCAGTTTTGAGATTTATTAAGCATCGTAAACAATGACGCGTGCGTAAAAGAGAATTGATGGATCATAAAAAAGTGAAAGTGGCTATAATTTGCATGTTAAGAAATGGGATTTTTGAAGATAAACGGATATTTTTCGACATTGTAACGTAATAGCACCGACATATTTATTTGTTACAAGGCAAATGAAAATCCAACGTTTTCTTCAAAATGTTTCGTATGTTCTGAACTCAACAACTGTTAGCAAGAACAGGAAAATGAAGGAGCATTATTCTCACTTCCCACTTATAAATGCCCAACAGAGATGATCAGTGAGTGAATGATTTTGCTACTCTCTCCTTGTCATTTAAGCTAACTGTCATGGATGGCTTTTATGAAGACGGTCTAGTGAGGTAGAGGTGTTTCCAAGTGATATGCTAGTTGACCGTCATTTCTGAGATGTGGCGGTTATGCGAGGATGACCATCAAGGTACAATAACCGTTATGATAATGCACAGCACTGCCTGTAAAGTTCGGGCAAAGGGTCTGATGTTCGTGGAACGGCCTAAAGTTCTTAGAAGTGTTCCAATGTTCTTTGATTATTCCATAAGGTTTTTATATATTCCTGAAGTAATCCAAACTACCCGGAAGTTCTTGAAACTTCTGTGAAGTTCCTGCAATTTTTTGAAGCCAATGGAACTCTTGGAGATCTCTAATCTTCATTGACATTTTACTAGAGTTTATCAAACAGCCCTGAAGCTATCGGAACTGACTGTTAAAGATCTTTAAACTTCCCCGAAGTTCTGAAACATTCTAATGTTCTCGAAATATCTATGAAGATTTCGAAACTTCTCTGAAGGTTGTCTGGATTATGTTTTTACAGGTAATTTGAGGATGCTACGATCAATTGCAATTTTACTCATGTAAGCGCATTGTCATCTGTACGGGCATCCAAACATTTCCTCATGCATTTTCGTGTGTAGTTTTGATTAGAAGAGAGAAATTTCTACGCTACCTTAGTATTGATTTGAAAAATCAACTTTCGGAGCTGGTTACTCATGCAGTAACCATGACTAACCACTAGACTGATGCAATATTTGATATTTTCGCTCCATAGTACTCAAACGGTGCTCCAGATAAGGTCCTGACTACCCTCACAAAACTTGAACTCATTTAGTAAGAAACTGACTTAGTTTCTTCTTCTTCTTCTTCTTCTTCGCATTTCAAGCTTATTGTTGAGTGCATATTAGCTTGTTGCGTGCTCTCAACTTAGTGTTCTAAATGCACTTCCACAGTTACTAATTGAGAGCTTTCGATACCAATACCAATGCATGAATTTGTATATTGTGTGGCAAGCACAATGTTACTCTATGCCCAGGGAAGTCAAGAAAATTTCCAACACAAAAGATTCCCTCGACCGAACTGGGAATCGAACCTGCCGCCTCCGTCTTAGCACAAACCATTTAAAGTTTATATGGAAATTACTATGGAAAAACCATTTTACTCTGATTTAAAAAATGACACCTGTGCTTGTAGGAAATTTTCTCAGCTACAACTATGTTCAAGATCACGATCATTGGTTGTTTTGGCTACTATATCACACTGCATAATCCAGCTTTCGATGCTCGGTAATGGCGGCCTGTTTGTATGAATAAATGTATCCTTCACTGTGCTGTCTGACACTATCTGGAGGTTCGGATTTTGACCCCTCCCATTCCCTCTCCCAGGAACAGAAGAAATGGAACAACATACGCCCTCCAGTTAGTGTCAAAAAGCACAGTGAAGGATACATTTATTCATACAAACAGGCCGCCATTACCGAGAATGGAAAGCTGGATACAGTCCCCCTCATTCTGTGCCGCGAGTCAGGTGAGGTGACTCGCTGACACAAGTGAGGTGACAAAAGTCATTTGATTTGCACGGAGTCACCTCACTCGCGGTGAATTTTGTCACCTCACTAGTGACAGCGAGTTACCTCACTCAGTGATGCAAAATATCATAACACTCACGTGACACTCGTCTTCGCATCAACCGACTTTCGCTGACAGATCGTTTTGTCACGCAGTGAGAGTTAGAGCCATGGCAAACAACAATCACCAGTAATGGTCGCTGCTCACAAGGAAAACGTTACACTCGCTGCTGATAATGAAAAGCACAACGAAAACAGTAAAGACTTCTGCAGTACGATCATGAGAAAAAGCGAAACGACAGAATAAAACGAAAACAATGCCTACGTATTCCAAGTTTCTCTCGGCAGGTGCAAGTGTGTGAGTTACAAACAAAGCAGGCAACATTAAACGGAAGCTGTTGGGCTCACTCACCAACACACTCACATAAGCAAGCAAAGCAGCAACTGCTTCAAAACGAGCACAGATGAGTGTCGTGATTGTCGGGAATGACCAGATCGGTGATGGATCACAACAGAAGACGACATTCACCAGTTGCTTTTTACTTCTTTCGTCAAGTTGATGGATGGTCATGGAGAGAGCTTCGACGAGCACATTTATAGGAATGTACAAAGCGTTACTACCATCAGCTGTTTGATGATCGTGATTGTGGTAGGTCGCAACTCTGACCTCACTTCATTCGCGATGCAGAATGGGTGGTAGTGACCTGATTAGTGCTGCGATGACTTCTAAAGCTAAAATGGCTCCAAAGAAATTGCCATTTGGAAAAGAACATCCTCAAAAGCGTGTCCTGTTTTACAATATACGGATGAACTTTCCCCAGTAAAATGTCAAATGCTGGTATCGACATCCTGACGAAAGTTTTGAATCCCTGGATGTCCTCAAACCGCAGTTCTTGTAACACAACATAAACCAAATCCTTTTCAGTACTTTGTCTGAGTACTCTACCGAGGGGGGGCGACACATCTAAATCTCAATTCTAGATGCTCAAAAAATCTTACACTAGCAAATCAATCTTCGAAAAATCATTTTTCATTTCTCGCATCTACTTGCATCGTGCTTCATCTTTTTGCAGGAAATATTCATAATCGATATAAATCTTCCTTTTATCTACTCAGCGTGCGTGTAGCTAGCCACAGCAAAACACAATCTTTTCTGCATCGTAGATAGAGTCGTCCCCCTCGTACTCTACAATGTTCTTTTTCTCCTCTGCATTTTGTTTGAAACAAAGGAAAGGACCCACGGAAGCCAGTGCAATTTTTCGGTAATTCATGTGTGTACTGTGAATGCTAGTTGTACTTTATATTTGTGTGAAATCATGTTTGACAGTTCTTCTTTTCGACATGTGCAAGCAGTGTGAACAGCAAAAAACAGGGGGACTCGACCAAGTGTGTCGAAAGTAAAATCGAGCAGACTTTTCATAATGGAAAATTTAAGATAAGAATAGCTATCCCACGTAGCAATTGTGGTTTTATGAGGGTTCTGTAGACCCCAATTTAGACTTGTAGCGTGCTTTAAAACCTCGATAAAACTTGCAATGTTACTTGGGATAGAACCGTTTAACAGTGAAATATGTAAAACAGCTAGAAGACAATGGACAAAATGTTTGATTTTCCGATAGTAATTTCCATATAAATATGAAATGGACTGTAACAAATCAGTTTCTTATAAAATGAGTTAAAATTTTGAGACTAATTAGAACCGAATTTGAAACCGTGGAGTGAAAATTTCAAATTTTGCATCAGTCAAGTAATCACTTATGGCAAGCCTGCTTGAACATTTAAGTGAAAATAAATTTAAAGGATCGAAAATTCACCTGTTGCTGATCGACTGATTGTAAATTAGAAGCTTGTCAAAATGAATTCCTTGACTGTCAGAGGTAAGTCTGGTCAAGTTTAAGTATAAATTCACCAATTCAAAATCAAAATTCCTGATGGATCGAAAATCGTGCTTTCCGCTATTATAATTCAAACGTCAAACTTAAAACGGTTTATAAATCAAATTTCCGAAAACCCAACAACAAAACCCACCGCGCAATGAACCTTCCTACTGATACCTGGGCAGACAACCGGCTTGACGTTTTGACCCTGAATCGGAGGATGGTTACTTATTTCAGTATTAATTAACGTCACTCAATGTCGAACGGACAGGTTAAAACGAAAAATCTTCTACAGTTTGACTGCGTTCCAGTTTGACTACATGACAACATAAATTCCGACTTTACTTTCGCCCGCTCGTATCCCCTTTCCTGTTCCCTATTTGGCTCGGTTCTATGAAGCAGAAACATTATGATTTCCTCCCTTTATATGGGTAAAAAAGCGATTTCCAACTGTTGCCGACTACTAGGTCGGGTTAGTTTTCGCTCTTTGATTGTGACATAAAAAAAAAAAACCAATTTCTGTATCTACAACGACGGAGCTCGTCTTAAATCCTAAATCTCGCACTCTTAAACCTAAAACTTGGAATGCATAAAACTACTACTGCGCTTAGAACAGATGATTGGCGGCGGTGGTTTTGTTGAGCCCTCCGAGCGGATCCAGAAGGTACCCGGCGGCTCCACCGCCCGCTCCCAGCAGCGACGAAAACGGAGACGACAGCGCCGCCACCGCATGATGGTGATGATTCTGCAGATTGTGATTCATGCCCAAATGGTTGACCGCTGAGGATGCTTTCTGGCTTTGCAACAGCGGATTGCAGGACGAGCTCCATTTGTTGTTGTTATTGTTATTGTTGTTGCTGCTGGTGCTGCTGCTGCTGTGGTGGTGGTGGTGCGATCCGATGACTCCCCCACCGACACTACCGTGGTGCGGTCCCAGTCCGTTCAGATCCGAATCGGTGAGTTTTCCTACAAATGGAAAGGGAGGACATGTGTGTACGGTTAGTAAGTGGAAAATAGTTGTGACAGATATAGATGGCTTTCCGGAGTGGAAATGACGACGATGTGGGTTGTATGTTTTTCTTCCGTTCATCATAGCTATCATAATTCATAATTTATTGAGTCGCTGCGACGAAGTTAATAGAGAATCGGATCGAAGAAAGCCGTGCCTGGGAGCTAATGGAAAACTTGATCACAAAAACAAAAGAGCTGATGTCAGAGAATCGTCGCAGTATGCCAAGTGGTCCCATTTGCAATGGTTGCTTTGCTGGGTTCGTACATTTTTCATTAGAGAAGAACCTAGCGAACGACAAGCGAATGGTGCTTTTTCCGGGTTTTGTTTTTGCTTGGTGACAGAGGCGTAAGAAGGGAATTGTAGTGGGCGGTATATTGCCTGTTCGCAAAGATTTGCGAAGGACTAAAATATTACGTAGGGGAAATGGCTCTTATGTTGGCCTATGGATCTAAGATTGGGGTCAGTCGCTAAAAATCTGCTATTTATCAATTTTATCTAGATGAACGCGTCATTGGGACGGTACTAATGGATATTTTTGGTAGCTATTGAAAATTTAGTCGATTGCTGAATTTATGTATGGGCCCAAATTGGGGTCATTTAGGCCGACATTACATCCATTTCCCCTATTATTATTATTATTATTTTAGAACTTCTAGAACCGAAAGATTTTTAATTTAAGAATTTGTTCAAGTTTTTTAAATGTTAACCTTTACGTGCCTAACGTCTAAATATGCATTGGTTTCCAAATTCAATTGACTCTAAAAACATCATTTCTCAATCTTTTTCTGTGCATTATGTCAGAAATCTATTTAATTTTTTTGAATCCGTCAGGAAAAAAATTGAATCAATATATGGTTCCGGAGTTATTCTGGTTCCCGTTGGTGTCACTCTGAGACGGCATTTGGCTTTACGGTTCTGTAATGACTGTTCTGTAAACGGTGAAAAGTTCCGGTGAACTCAGGGAAGTGTCCAATTCTCAACAAGACCCAAAACCCATCGTGCGACATATCAAACTTCAAGATTTTGCCAAACTGGGCTGGTAATGGTCTTATTGACAGTCCATAGTCATACTAACCCTCCTGGGAATGTTTTGGTACCCCAAGAACTAAAACCCATCATATCAATTTCATGGTTTTCAAAACTCGGCTGATAATGGCCTTATTGAGAGGCCACGGTCACATTGGTCATCCCGGAGAAGTTCAAGTGTTAAAACTCGTCATGCGACACATCAAACTTCATGAACTCGGCCGGTGATGGCCTTATTGACAGTGCAGGGTCACACAAGCCTTCCCAGGCATGTTCCGGTACCCCCGGTACCCACGAAAAAGTGACCAATTCTCAACATCAGTGCACAGTCACACTAGCCCTCTCGGGCATGTTTCGGTACCCCACGGGAAGTGGCCATTTCTCAACAAGAACCAACAGCCGGCGTGCGACATATCAAACTTCATGATCTTATAAAAATCGGTTGGTAATGGCTTTATTGACAGTCACACTAGCCTTCCTGGGTATGGTCTGGTCCCCCGGAAATGTTCCTATGCCTCCGGGGAAGTGGCCAATTATCAACAAGAACCAAAACTTGTCATGCGACGCATCAAACTTCATGATTTTACAATACTTGGGCGATAATGGCCTTACTAATAGTTCACGGACACACTGTCCCTCCTGGGCATGTTCCGAGGCACCCGGGGAATTGGCCAATTTTTGACAAAAACCAAAATCCGTCGTGCGACATACCAAACTTCATGGTTTCTGAAAACTCGGTCGGTAATGGCCTTATTGAGAGTCTACGGTCACACTGGCCATCCCTGAAATGTTCCGGTGCCCGCGGGAAAATAGCCATTTCTCAACTAGAATTAAATCCCTTCGTTCGACACATCAAGCTTTATGATTTTGTTGAACTGGGTAAGTAGTGGCCATATTGAGAGTCCACGGCCATATTGAGTCTTCTGGGCATGTTCTAGTACCTCCAGAATGTTCCGATGCCCCCGGACAAATGGACAGTTTCCAACACGAACCGTATCAACATCGATGATGCACTCACATTCAGAACTTTCGTAACTAGGCATAACTGGAAACTAAACACATTTGGCACAAAGGGCTGAAACGTCGTCAATCTGCAAACAACTCGAATGAAGTCAAATTTCATATAAATCAGTACGCGAAACATAACACAATATAAAATAATAATAAATAAATAATGTAAGTCAGTAAGTAAGTAAGTAAGTAAGTTGGTAAGTAAGTAAGTAAGTAAGTAAGTAAGTAAGTAAGTATGTAAGTAAGTAAGTGAGTAAAAGTTCCCACCTATTTCCTGAAGTTAATTGACTGCCTTGATATTATTTGATCTCCGTTGAACCCTCCCCCCCTCATTTTTCTGATGTTTAACTTTCTTGAAGTTCACGGAACTTCTTTTAAAATATTGAAACTTCCCTAAGCATTCTAACAAACACTTGAGCAGGCTAAATGCTGAATAAGACTGCTGCATAAGGCTGATCTGCAGCTAAAATTGTTTGTTGGGTCCTAAGACGTTCCCTGAAGTTTTTGATACTACTCTGAAGCTTCTTAGTTTGCCAAGAAAATCTGCTGAACCCGCCACTTCACTAAATTTCTCGGGACTTCTGAAAGGTTATCAACATTTTCCTGAAATTGATGGAACTGTACTAAATTTTTCTTTCTCGAAGTTCTCCGAACATCCCTGAAGTTCTCAGAACTTTTAAAAGATACTGCAGCTTTCCTGAAGCTAATGCAGTTTCCTAGAAGTGTCCTAAACTTTTCCAGAAGTTCTTGGAACATTCCTTGTGTTCCCGCAGTCTGCTCAAATAACTTCCCAGAAATGTTTGGAGCTTCCTTTAAATTTTTCTTTAAAGTTCTTTAAATCTTTGCGAAGTAAATGGGATTGCCCTGAAGTTCACGAATCTTTCCTGGATTTCTCACTATTCTCCTGATGATGTTCCAGGAATTACCTTGAAAAAAAATTTAACCATTCTATTTTTATGGCTCCCGTTGTTTTCCTGAAATTAATGAAACTGTACTAAAGTTCCCGAAATTTGCCTGAAGCTTTCGGAATATCCCTGAAGTTCCCACACATTTTCTGATATTCATGAATCTTAAGTACTCGAATTTGCACAAAAGTTCACGTATCTAAATATCTTTAAACCTCCCTGAAGTTTTGGCAGGATCTGTAAACTTTCAGCAATTTTCCTTAAGTCAAAAGAACTGTTCTGAAGGTCTTTAATCTTCACAGAAGTTCAAAAATAAATCTTGAAACGTATGGAACTACCCTGAAGTTATCGGAACTTACTCTTCATGGTCATTAAACGTCCCTGAAGATCTGGGCGATCTTGAAATTCTTATGACCATTCTGAAGTATCCGGAGCTTCTTTGAAGTTCTTGTAGGTTTTTAAAAAAATCAAATCTTCCTGGAGGTTTCCAATAATGTTCATAAAAATAATAGAACTGGAAGAAAGTTCTCCAAATGTTTTGAACTTTGAGGAATTTCTCTAAGTAAGTAAGTAAGTAAGTAAGTAAGTAAGTAAGTAAGTAAGTAAGTAAGTAAGTAAGTAAGTAAGTAAGTAAGTAAGTAAGTAAGTAAGTAAGTAAGTAAGTAAGTAAGTAAGTAAGTAAGTAAGTAAGTAAGTAAGTAAGTAAGTAAGTAAGTAAGTAAGTAAGTAAGTAAGTAAGTAAGTAAGTAAGTAAGTAAGTAAGTAAGTAAGTAAGTAAGTAAGTAAGTAAGTAAGTAAGTAAGTAAGTAAGTAAGTAAGTAAGTAAGTAAGTAAGTAAGTAAGTAAGTAAGTAAGTAAGTAAGTAAGTAAGTAAGTAAGTAAGTAAGTAAGTAAGTAAGTAAGTAAGTAAGTAAGTAAGTAAGTAAGTAAGTAAGTAAGTAAGTAAGTAAGTAAGTAAGTAAGTAAGTAAGTAAGTAAGTAAGTAAGTAAGTAAGTAAGTAAGTAAGTAAGTAAGTAAGTAAGTAAGTAAGTAAGTAAGTAAGTAAGTAAGTAAGTAAGTAAGTAAGTAAGTAAGTAAGTAAGTAAGTAAGTAAGTAAGTAAGTAAGTAAGTAAGTAAGTAAGTAAGTAAGTAAGTAAGTAAGTTAGTTAGTTAGTTAGTTAGTTAGTTAGTTAGTTAGTTAGTTAGTTAGTTAGTTAGTTAGTTAGTTAGTTAGTTAGTTAGTTAGTTAGTTAGTTAGTTAGTTAGTTAGTTAGTTAGTTAGTTAGTTAGTTAGTTAGTTAGTTAGTTAGTTAGTTAGTTAGTTAGTTAGTTAGTTAGTTAGTTAGTTAGTTAGTTAGTTAGTTAGTTAGTTAGTTAGTTAGTTAGTTAGTTAGTTAGTTAGTTAGTTAGTTAGTTAGTTAGTTAGTTAGTTAGTTAGTTAGTTAGTTAGTTAGTTAGTTAGTTAGTTAGTTAGTTAGTTAGTTAGTTAGTTAGTTAGTTAGTTAGTTAGTTAGTTAGTTAGTTAGTTAGTTAGTTAGTTAGTTAGTTAGTTAGTTAGTTAGTTAGTTAGTTAGTTAGTTAGTTAGTTAGTTAGTTAGTTAGTTAGTTAGTTAGTTAGTTAGTTAGTTAGTTAGTTAGTTAGTTAGTTAGTTAGTTAGTTAGTTAGTTAGTTAGTTAGTTAGTTAGTTAGTTAGTTAGTTAGTTAGTTAGTTAGTTAGTTAGTTAGTTAGTTAGTTAGTTAGTTAGTTAGTTAGTTAGTTAGTTAGTTAGTTAGTTAGTTAGTTAGTTAGTTAGTTAGTTAGTTAGTTAGTTAGTTAGTTAGTTAGTTAGTTAGTTAGTTAGTTAGTTAGTTAGTTAGTTAGTTAGTTAGTTAGTTAGTTAGTTAGTTAGTTAGTTAGTTAGTTAGTTAGTTAGTTAGTTAGTTAGTTAGTTAGTTAGTTAGTTAGTTAGTTAGTTAGTTAGTTAGTTAGTTAGTTAGTTAGTTAGTTAGTTAGTTAGTTAGTTAGTTAGTTAGTTAGTTAGTTAGTTAGTTAGTTAGTTAGTTAGTTAGTTAGTTAGTTAGTTAGTTAGTTAGTTAGTTAGTTAGTTAGTTAGTTAGTTAGTTAGTTAGTTAGTTAGTTAGTTAGTTAGTTAGTTAGTTAGTTAGTTAGTTAGTTAGTTAGTTAGTTAGTTAGTTAGTTAGTTAGTTAGGAAATTCCTGTTAGGAGAATTAACCACTAGCAGCAGTTGGCACGCAATCCAGGTGCATATCGCCATGAAATGCACCATACAAAGCAAGTACACACTTAGATTTTTCTACCGAGATCGGCTGTGCAAATCTCGGCAAAAAAAGTTTTACTGAGATATCAGCAAACATTTCATTTGTTTGCTGAGATCCAGCTAAAGCATTATCCGAGACTCAACAATCAAATGTCACTTTTGCTGAGATCTCAGTGAAACTTATTTTGCCGAGATTTGCACAGCCGAGCTCGGTAGAAAAAACTAAGTGTGTAGGGTAGAATAGCTTAGTAAGCACTTTTAGTGCATAAATAGGTAGTGAACGTGAGGTTCGTTTTCTTTTTCCAGCTTTCAGCGCAGAGGGCTAGTAATAAGTGTTCATGTGTAATTAAGGAAGAATAAATTTGTGAACTTGTAACTTTTTAAAAAAGTGATTTCTGGAAGAGAAAATCCTAACTTGAATTGCTCACATTTTACCGAACAGTTCAGCTAATGAGATTTCGGATAAAATAACCGTAATCATCGATTATTTTTAAGTGTGTACCCTTCTATAGTTCTCTCTATTTGGCCATTAAGTTCATAGTAGTTCTATTAGAAAACATCTGAACTAAAATAGAAGATTACATCTTAAGACTTCTTTATTAATCCGACCCTACATAAACGATCACCCGAATGGTAAAATTATGCCACAACCCCGTACAGACTATGGCTTATATCATGTAATATAGGCTGTCTTGCAATGAGCACTCTTACATAGGATTTTAAGTGAAAACTAGATGTATGAGTGCTCATTGCAAGACACCCTATATTACATGATATAAGCCATAGTCTGTACGGGGTATAATAAGCACTTTTTATGATATTGGGTTAGTCGAAACAAAGCCTTTTTCGTATGAACGCTTGTATGAAACAGTCGTTTCGTCCTGGTTACATAATGTGGCCCCTGGTCTTAGAAATTCACTACTTGTAAAGCCTCTTCTGAAGCCCTAGAAGTCGAAAGTTCTCCGAAGTGTTATATATGTAGAACAGGTTTGGAGGATATATAGCAAAATACTTCAAAAGAATCCAAGGTATTGACTTTACGATGAACTTCTGTGCCCGGATCCGAGTCATATCCCAGAGCATGCTAAGCAGTCGTTTGGGGACTTTATGGTTAGATTTCTGGATGTCATGAGTAAGTTCCACCAATTGGAAGCAAAACCTCGCTACACCACTGACTCCAAACCAAAAGACAGACGCCAACGAGCCAAGGAAAATCAAGACCTATCAGGATCAAACATTACACCATTCTTGCTCTACTTTTGTCCTGTTTTTGCCAAAAGTTTGTTCCACTAAACATACATACCATCTTCAACACATTCACACGCACACACACACAATCACATACACGGAAGAAAACTTCAACGTAAGTACATGTGATAAGGCACTTTACAGTTTTCAGTTTACACGGCTTTCTCCATGTAGAGCCCGACTGCGCTCTGCTGGGACCGTCTTGTTTTCTCTTTATTCGTCGTCGTTTTCATTTCGCTGCAAAAACAGATGAAATCCCTGGAAATGGCGAATAACGTTGGCAGGGGGTGGAGATGGCAGGAAGAATGATGCTGCCTACCCTAGTCGTGCCCATGTGTTTGTGTGCGTCGTCCAAGCTACTATGGTGACGGTTCAAGGCGCGACATTTCCCGAAAATAATGTGACGTTAATTCGTATAAATGAACGGTGTAACAAGCAATTTCCTTGATTAAACAATTCCATCTATTATTCAATCCAAGTCGGCTGGCTTTCTTTTCTATTAGGAATCCATTCCGCTCGCTGCTCCGTCAGAATTCCAAAAAACAGAGGAAAACAAAACTTACCATTAATAGGTTTGATATCTCCGTTCGATTGGTGGGAGGAAGCACTCGAGTTGGGTGTGGTGGAAACCGTCGACAGCGGTGAGCCCGGTTTGATGTCCTTGGGGGTCGTACTTCCGCCGGACGTTTTCTGCTCCGACTTCACCGACGACGAGTCCGGATTGTTGTTGTTGCTCGTGTTGCTATTGTTGTTATTGCTGGAGACTTTCTGCTGAGCGATCCGTTCCTGCTTCCGGAATTTGGCCCGCCGGTTCTGGAACCAAACCTGCGGGAAGAAAAAAAAAAAAATAATGGGAAAAGCATCTTTTATAACCTTAATTTAAACTCGCGAGTCGCATAGGAAAAGGAACTAATTATCATTCGGGTGCTTATTTTTCATGCTCGCATAAATGGGAATGTTTATGCCGATTCGGGGCCGGAGTAGGGTGAGGGAGAAGGGATTATGTCGTGACATTTATTAGCGCGCAGAAGAGTGTTGCTGCTGTGCTTATTTTCGGATCGCTTGTTTCCTTCCGATTTTTTGAGGTTGGATTATGTCTTGTGCGTTCTGCTCTGACGTTGTTGGTTGACGTCGCGACGGTGAAGAGAAATCTTGCCGACGCAAAACGTACACAGCAGGATGGGGGATGGAATGTGTTCAAATTAATTAGCTAATATTTGCGAGCAGATTAATGAAATGACAATGAATTTGCTGCCGGGGAAATTGAGTGAGGGAAACGGTTGACGGTTTTGGAATCGGTTGAGACGAGAGTGAACTTTCATGTTTTGGAATTTAAATTCAACTATTAAACCACGAAGAAGAGGTGTCGTACCGAATTTTTTGTTGTAATAATGGAATTGTCCCCTACTACAGATTCCCCCGGGGGTACTTCGGTGTTTCCGCAAGTGGCCAATGTGGAAAATGATCCATTTAAAGTTTTTAGAAATTCTACTGATGTAAAACTATGAAGAAAGAGGTGTCACACTGCATGTTTTTTGTAAAAATGAATTTGTCCCCTACTACAGGTTCCCCTGAGGGCACTCCGGTGGTTCCGGAAGCGGCCAATGTGGTCAATGATCTATTTAAATTCTATAAAAAGCCTATTGGTAAAAAAAAAACATGAAGAAAGAGGTTTCACACGGTATGTTTTGTTGTAAAAATGAATTTGTCCCCTAGTATAGGTTCCCCGGGAGCACTCTGATCCATTTAAAGTCTTAATAAAGCCTCTTGGTAAATAAAAAAAACATGAAGAAAGAGGTGTCACATGACAAAGAACTGACCGCACTCAGAACCCTCCCTCAGGACCGATTCCAGGAAAATGGCCATATCTCGGTTAATTCTGAGCCGATTTTAGCTCTTGGTGCGTCATTCGCTATGGAAATGGTTTTATTTTTGGCTTATGAACAAAAAACACAGATTAATAACGGACACCTTGATAAAAACTCATCACAAATTTAGCAATTTAGACATGTCCTTCGGAAACCCGGAATATCTCCGGCATCCGATAGCCATGGTCACTTGCATTGCCTCACCATGAGACTTGATTAGTTTTCCAGTCGAATGCTTCTTGAAGATTAAAAATCTAACAATATTGAACGAAGTAACAACAGTCCAGAGTTGGTCAAAATTTTGCTAGTACCCTATAATTCTCACAACCCCTGTATAGTGAAAAATTTACAGTTTTCATTAAATTATGAGGTGTTAACGATTGCATTTTAAAAAATGCACTTAAATTGTCGATTTTTCATGGGTTTACTTCCATCCGCACTGACGAAACTATACCCATGCAGCATCAATCATAGGAACCCATGAGTCAGCAGACAAAATTTGACAGCTCTATCAGTTGAACTCTAACCGTGATGGCAAAAACCGTTCAGAAGTGTGCGCGTTCAAAGAATCGCACCCCGCCGCGTCGAAAACGGCCATCGTTCGGCACTTTGTGGGCGCCGGATACGCCCGTTCCGGCATCTACAACATCTTGGCACTATTAGACAACAATCAGAGTATCGAAAGAAAGCCCGGTTCCAGACGGCCGACGACCCTGAGCGACAAGAAGCTCCAAAGGATGTTGAAGAGGAAGACCGAGGGAAGAGTGGCTACATCGCTGCGTGCGCTTGGCCGGAAGGTCGTTGCAACCGGCCAAACAGTGAATATACATGTCAGAAAGCGGAAGTCACGTTCACTGGTTTCGGAGCTGCAGACAATGACGCAGCGGCAGCGGCTGAATAAGATGGTCAACTCGTTTTTCCCGGCGAATCGCGACGTGGCGGTGGTGATGAACGACGAGACCTATCTCACCCTGGATGGCAACGACTGGCAGGGCACTTCGTATTTTACTTCCCTCACGAAGGAAGTGAGCTCCGAGGTGAAGTTCATTTCACACACCAAGTGAAATGAAGGTGCTGCTGTGGCTGACAATCAGCGAGAAGGGGATGTCAAAGCCGCTCCTCTTTCGCTCCGGACTGGCCGTGAACGGGGAAATTTATAGTACGAAATGCCTGCCGGAAGTTGCGTCGTTCATCAAGAAATACCATCGGCCCACTACTCGAAGCGTTTGTTGGAGGAGATTGAGCGGCTGAATATCGATGTGGTACTCAAGTCGGCTAACCCGCCTAACGTCCCCCAGCTGCGTCCCATCGAGAATTTTTGGGCCAACCTGAAGCGTAAGAGTTACTCCAACAATTTTGTCGTGAAAACTGAGGAGGAATTGATAAATAAAACGAAGAAAGAACTCAAAAACATGCCTACACCTAAACGCATATTTTCGTCCGCCATGGCGAATGTTCCGGTTAACTGCCGGAAGGCTGCTCTCAAGGGCGTAGAATGTTTTTGCAAGTAAGCTTAAATAATTACCTTCCATGGGAAATTTATCAAAAGAAATTATCGTCTGATTTTTTTTTAACACCATTCGAAAAAAGTCCTATTTTTTTAATGCAAACGTTACAGAAGCTGTTACAGTTTGACATGTGTCGAGGTAAGACAGCCACCTTTGGTTGATTGAAACTGAATGCGTAAATGACAATATTTCTTTTTTGAAATGTATCACACTTTTTTTTAAGAAAACATTTGTAGATCTGTCATCAGAATGAACTCGTGATATGGAGGCCCCGAGGGATCCACCAGAAAATCCGGAGTTGTCAATTCATAAAAGTAGGTTCAGGACTTCTAACAAGCTTTTGTTACCGGCATTATAAGGCATTCCAAATGGTGATGGTACACAAGTAAATTAGGAATTCCTTCACTGAAGTCCACACGTAGACTAGTGTCACGTAGTAAGAGAATGCTGAACTAACTATCGCCCAAATTTGAAGACATTGATTACCTGAACAAGTTTCCCGAAGACGGTAACATCTTAAATAGTAAAGATCTCAAGATATACTTTGTACAAGAAATTGACTGGGCACATTAGCGCCGCATAGTGAGAAAAATCTATACTACTGTACTCTATCCGTCTTTACCTACAGTGCAATTTTTCCGAAGACAGTAACCTTTTATATGGCCAGGATGGAGCCGTCTTACCCCTAGAGGTGGCCAACCTTACCCCGCATGATTTTTTTTCCTTTCATTATTTAGTCTTATTCTGATTCGTGATAAAACATCATCAAACAATTTTTTTTTTATGAAAATCAATGTAATTAGGGAAAGTACTCTAATGATCAATAATCACTCAATTTATAGCAGACATTATATAAAGTTTTGGATAAATTTTACTTCAAGTTTAGGGTTGCCGTCTTAACCCGTCGTCCTCAGTAAGGTTACTCAAATCCTAAACTTAATATGAATTTAATTATGCTTAAAAAGGCAAACTTGTGGAATTCTGTTTGATCTATTCTAAACAGTGCAAAGCGTTTTGTTTTTATCTAGAGGAGAATTTCTTTTTTTTGTAAATTGCTTTATTTGTTCAGGCTCAATCGAATAAACTTTACAGAGCCGAGTCACTTCCATTATACATGAGTTAGGGGAGACTTAGACTTGCACCATTTTAAAAAAAGATACTATGTACAGTGACTCAATAAAATGTAAATATATGTTTAAGGAAATTCTTTCAAAACACTGTTGCTAGATATATTTCTAATTTTTTAAATTGAATTTGAGCTGAGTCTGAAAGAAGTTTGAGAAATTTTAGTAAACAGCTCAATTTGATTTTTTTTTCGAAATGAGCAGATTCCAGTGAAATATGATGCATATAAAATATCTTTGAGGTTACTACAAGGTTACAAGGCATAGAATACACTTTACTGTATAGAAATGATCAAGTGGTTGTAATCGAATATATTAGTTTTATATATTATCGGAAAAATCGGGAAAATTTAAGATTTTCCAAATGGAAATTCAGTGGCCACCCCAAACTTTTCGAAAAATCTATTTGAGAAGTGATAATCGATTACTTGAATGCAAATCGGATATCACAAATAGTGTATTCTCCTTTTATGCATTCATAGGGCACCCATTAAAACCCAATCGTCTTAAGGGACCACCTTAACCGCTTTCAAACACTAGCATATTCGTCGATGTAGCATCCTCTCTGGAGGGACCAAATCTCTTCTCTGATCGCAACCGTTTACCCGCGTAACCCGAATAAATAATTAATACCAAAATCCTCCTCTTCAGTGACTTTCATTCTCAATCCTCGTCCCTCCCTCTCTGGTGGCAGTGTTGTAGCGTAAAAAGAAACCAAGTCAAGGGACCCGCAACCGCACTAATTCGATCCTAATTCGATTTGCATCGCAAAACCACCTCCACCCCCATCGAAAAGCGCCCCTGCGTCTCAGCCATTATTGCATTGGCGAAAGTTGGGTCAAATCGGAGAAAGGTCGTAAAGAAACCACCGATTTTTATAGTTTATAGCCGGGTCCCTCCGTTCGGCGCCACCGTCCTCGCCTCAGGAGAAGGCTGATTAAATTATGGGTTAGCAAAGTTTCTTTCACGATCGTCAAAAGTCATGCTCTTTAATGTTTAAAATCGTGTTTTTGGGTTCTCCAGCGCGTGTGTGTAGGGAATCGAAATGTGCCAATAAATATTTTTACGGCCATTCAAATATTCACGTACGCATTTGGCTATAAAAAAACGAGTTCTATTTTAAACAAAATAACACCATCCAGGATTGCGTTGCCGCAACTTTCGAACCCTGCACAGTTTTTCGGTCTCAAATTTGTAGCATTAAATTGTTGGAACAATCCGAGCAGGCCATGCAATCCATACCTTCGCCAAAAGTTGACAGATGTTTGCAAGCGTAACGTGAGTAAACATTCTCCCACTAAACCTGCACAGACTAAATTCCGCCC